TGGGTTATTTCACCCTATCTACCGGCTTGCATGATCCGTTTGCACCATAATTCTTTTTCGCCATACGGATTACCCCATCATAAATATGCTATGTCTACATTATCATTGGATTTAAGTTTTTTCTTCTTTTTTAATTATTATAAGTTATTGAAATGATTTATGTACATGTAAGTTTAACTGTTTAGTTCAGTCATTTGAGCAGTTGCGAATTGAACCAAAGGCCTGACGAATGGGTGATGTAAACACCCCCCCCTCCCCCCTTAATTCTCCCGGAATCCGAGAATAGGGTCAATCTCCAAATCTTACCAGAAGCGTAAAATGATAGCAGAAATTGAAATATAAGAATGATAGAGTAGGAATTCATGTATTTTTGATAAGGTTTTGTAACGTGTATAAAAAAAAAAATTCAGAAGCTGGGGGAGTGGGGTTGGTTGGGGTGTTACACCATCCATTTGTTAGGTGCCTGTGTTCTAAACAGGGAACCGATTTGGCAATGCATTAGATATATGATGACATTATTTCAAAATCTATGTTGCAGCCTTTGTCAAAGGGTTTATTTTTTTTAAAGAATCTTTTACTCTCACTTTGATCTCATATTTATAAATTAAATTACTTAAAAATTGTTTATAAATAAGAGTATCACATCGATTACTTAACTGGTGTTTTCTTTTATCTATACTGAATGTCAGTGAATGATAAAGCACTGTATAAGAAATTAAAATACATGTATCAACAAAAAATCATGAAATTCAATAAAATCAAAGAAGTGGACCGTGCATACAGTTTTCAATGAGTGAACTTTAAAAAGAATACTTTAATGATTTCGTATATATGAAATATGCATAAAAGAAAATAATTTATGTTTTTTATCTTTTTCTTTCCATTTGTGAATGACAGAATGAAGCAGGCATTTATTTACATAAATTGTCCTCATATGGCGTATACTGCGTACTAGCGCGTGCTTGTACTCTCTTTTTAATATGTAAGTTTACATAATTTTTACCTCCAAAAGCTAAAGATTTCCTTTTCCAGAGTTTGAGTTTGTACTCCAAATCCGTTGAGTTTAACTCAGTGGAGATTGTACTCCAAATATCTATAACCTCAAATTTAGAAACGTACTCAGTGGAGTTCATACTTGGAGATTGGAGTTTGAGTTGGAGTATGAGTACAGTAAAAGTTTTATAACCTCGGGGCCAGGTCATTTTCGCCACGGCAAAATATTTCAAGGCCGTTGCTATGGAAACCAAGGAAGCACTGTCCAAAATTTACCCACCTATAGTCTTTATATAGGACACTCTTTAATATTATATTGATAAAATAAAATTCCATGATAGTGCGTGGCCAAGCATTTTTGGTCCTTACAGAGAATTGATGTTAATACGTAGAGTGAGAAGAGTTTGAACTGATATTCTGCATTGTTTTATATGCTTGTATGCAATTTATAAATGAAAATCTACAACAAGTGAACAATTTACTTCAGTACTCTCTTCTTTAAATCTATCTTGTGTCTACAAATAGCTCTTAATAATACTATTTTTAAAATCAAATTAGGATTGCATATTTCAAAGTTTTTGAATGTAAAAACTTGGTCATATTAATTTTGTATCACCAGGATTGTTATACCTTTATAAAACGAATGCCCTGGAGTAATGTGCAGCTAATTAAATATTCCAAATTGACAGCAGCTACATGTTAAAATGTGCTGTAATTTTTGTCACATGTTGCTGACAAGTAGCATGTGAATTGTTTATGATCCCTTCCAGTTACACTGTTGATAGACATACTGTAGATTTAGGCTGACATCAGATGCAGTAAGACTTAGGTAAGCTTTTTTTGTGGTTTTTTGTCTTTTTTTGGACAGGAAGCATATTGTTTTAGCTGGTTTATCATGTTTTTTACCAGATTTAACCTTTGATGTTATAAATAAGATACTTAGGAATAAAAATACATTAAAGGACTTGGTGTAATCTCTGCATGAAGTTAAGGCCATGATCAGAGTTTGAAGGGTGCACTTGTCAAAGCCTCCCCCTCCCTCTGGGGAAAAAATTATGCATTAACTACTCTGGACTGGACATCCTTTTGGTTAGAACATTGGAATCACTATTGCTGTTTTTAACCAGAGGTGATACAACTCCAAGCATTTATTACATTTCCACAACATAAGGGCCATGAATTATGAAAATTTTCATGACAGAGAGCCTTTTTTCTGGTTTGACCATGGAGCATAGATCCTTTTAGGACAGTTCCCTTCTAGTTTTGTTTTCTTATCTAAACAATCTGTGCAATATCTGATCAAAAATTCAATCCTCCATTTATCGGTACCACAAAATTGAATATTTCCAGGTCAAGCAATCAATGTTTTTTTTTGGAAGATTTAATTAAAAACCATGATATATTTTTTGAGTATCATTGCTGTATCTTGCAAACAGACTAAGCATTAGAATCCAGACATTAGAACCCAGACATTCAGATTGATGTACATACAGGACAGACACAGATCAAAAAGGAAACTCAGTATTAAAATATCCATTTAACAATTTTCAAATTATTTGTATTTTAAAGAATGACACATGTATTACATATATTATTTTATCAATTTACTGTAACCTTTTCATTGGCCACCTGTGACCTTTTGACATCAAGTAAATGATTCTGTTGTCCTGTCTTAATTCTCTTTCGCCTGTTATTATAAAGTTGACAGATCTGTAAAACAATTATTTCCCTGTTGTTGGTGATTGTAGTCATTTTGTGTTACCTCAGTGCCGCGATGTGTAGGAGGGTAGTACAGGTATACTTGCACACCTGACAGTATATTATTTGCGACTTGGATTTGCTTATATAACTGAAACAATGATAAGAATACACCTCCTACTTCTTTTTTTAATTCTGTTAAAAATGCAAAAATATAGGATATTATTCATTAAATTAGATGTCAAGAGCCTTCATTTATCACTTAATAAATCTTGTGAGATTTCATGCCTCAAATTTGGTGACTTAGGAGAATAGCTATGAGCAAATGGAAATCTGCATTCATTAAACTTTAATTTATAATGTCTCATCTTTGCTAGATATTAAGTTGAACGGGTCACTTTGTTATTGCTACTTTTTTCACCAGTTACGAAGAATCAGTCTCACCTGAGCTTAAAGCTTGAGGAAGCTTTTCTGTTACAAGTTTGTCTTATGTCAGTTTGTCTGTCTGTCTGTTCATAGATCTGTCTTATTTTTCAGTGAACTAATAATCAACCAAACTTATTGAGTGTCATTTTGTAAAGAGAATTCAATTTTTAAAAGGAATGGCCACACTGCCTTCCAAGGGATGATAATAAAAAAAAAGGCAAAACAGGGTGGGTAAATAAATCTTAAATACTGAGCTAAAAAAGTCATAACTTAATTTTCAAAAACTACTAGATTAAGTTCATATTAAGCAGTCAACTAGTCATATTAATCTGCATGCATCCCAACACATGTTTGTGGAAAGAAGGCAGGATATTGTAGCCATTTTATGGACAAATGAACAACTCGTTTGATTTATAAAAAAATTTGCTTTTATTCTAATTTTTGTACACTGTATAAGCTTACTCCATCTTCTCCTTATAAGTGTGTGTTATGTTAAAAAAACTACAGATAGTTTTTATAAAGCTTCAAATTATCTGTCACTTGCACAGAAGACATTTTGTATGTCATTATATTTGTATATGCTGTAATAAATACAGTAAAAATGTAATCTTGTGAGAAAATAAGCAACTAAGGTAATTCTGTGTATAAATGTGCTTGTACGTTTTCAATAAACAGCTTTGTTTATTACGACTGGCTGTAAGTAATTACGAGGCCTGAGACCCTAGACTGTTGTGGTCATTGTTTTGGAGCCTATCTCGATGGGGAACGCCTCTGTGACCATGGACTGTGAATTCCCACCACGTAATCGTCATGCTTTGGGAAATGGTAGCGGTGACATGTTTATGCTATTCTCTGTAATGTTAAGTGTGCAAGGACAAATTCATAATCATTATGTGTACTAGACCAGAGCGTTATGCTGGGAATTAGATTCATGGTGCTCGTTAGGTTTGTGTGAAATTCATATTTGTAGAAGTAGTCATTTCAAATTTCGTTAAATAATTTTATTGGAAAAAATATATTAAATATGCTTTTTTATCTGATGTTTTGTATATTGCCCAAAATTCACTTTCAATTTCATTTGTAGTATATCTTTTACTTTATTATTATTAAGAATTAATTAAAAGTTTTAATAATTAGCCCTATGTTTTTTTTATTACATGTATTATACAAATTTCCTAAAAGTCACATTTAATTTTATTGGTTCTTTATTTTTCACTAAATTTTACTCTTAACTTTTGAATTCATCGAGAGTTATAGTTTTGTTTGTTAATTATTAGTATTAATGACTTAGCTAGACTAAGACAAATGAACTGTCATATGATTCTGTGCTTGTTGGTTTAGACCATATACAGACACACATAATTAACATGTGAGAGTGCCTAGGACTTATTCACCTTCATTATGCCATCACACCTTACTTAGGTGTCTGTTAATATGTACTCGTATATTGCCCTTGAATTACAATAGTCCTATAGCTAAGGTTTTCCAGGGACAATTTGTAAGTAATTGATGTTTATTTTTATTAAAGGTTTACTTTTTGTACCTAATGGGTTTAAGAAAAATAGAAACTTTTTATATTTTTGTTTAATAGCTTTGAATTGTTTGACAAAAAAAAAAAAATCAGCCTAGGGAAAATAACATGTAAATTGCACTTGAGTAAGTGACAATGTGTATTGACTATCTGTGGAATGGCTGGGGGCAGTTTGAGATGTGATCAGTGATCAGTCCAATGTCTGCCACACAAACAGGTCCCTCTAACAAACCAGCCAACACACTGACAGAGTGACGCAATGGTCAGTGTCTAACAAACCAGCCAACACATTGACAGAGTGACGCAATGGTCAGTGTCTAACCTTCTAGACTGCCCTGTTCTTTTTTTTTAATGCTTGTTATCTGATGGTGACCCTGTGATCTGTTTTATTACCTGTTGATTTTTAAGCCTTTTTGCTTCACTGGTGATTCATCAGTCTAGCCCTGGATTCTATAATGGACAAACCAGCAGGTCTAATGCTTGTTATTGATACATTAGCGAAAGAGCTTTCAAAAGATGTGTCATTTAATAATCTTATTATCATTGCCTTTTCTTCTTTTTTTAAAGGAGCAAACAATGTGTATTATATATTGTGGACTTTTGTAACATGTATCAGCTAGCAAACAAAAGTGTTCATAACGGAAGTTTATTGAGATATGAAGCGGTAGTCCTTCAGTGTTATTTCCTTATTGAGATTCCAGGTTCTCACCATTCACAGTTCTGTTTTCCAGATTGTATACCTGTATAAGTCATTATGTAAAATTTACCTTTAGACGTCAAGTGTTGTGACCATATTGTTATATTTTTCAGATGACTTTTTGTAAAACCTGCACAGAAATGAGGGGAGTACAGAATACTGCCAGCTGCTGAGGAATTTAAAAGTTCTGTCTACTTCACCATGGGCAAAGGACAGTCCAAATCTTACGACTTCAGTAAGTTATATCACCTGCATTTACATGTATATAGTAATTAACTAATTTAAAAATAAGTTGTTTTTTTTTTTATATCAGCTTTCAAAAAGTACAAAAAGACTAGCTGATGGGAAGCCCACAATCAGTTTATTTAGAGCAGTATGAGATGTAAATTTCATGTTGAAATTTCTTTAAATTTAAAATCAGGGTTATTGCAGAAAGTTGGATTTTGTAAACTCAAATTTGCTTTTAATATTTGCATTAAAGAAACAATTAATATAAGCTCTCCTTAAAGCAGAATAAATTGTTGTCTGCCTGTTCTAAATTAGTAATTTCTAATACAGAGATCTTTCTGCCAAGATATACTTGGATTTAGAATCATCTTTTTGGATTTTTAAATCATGATCATGAGTATATTGTAAAAGTGGTTATATTTAAGAGAGGAAACTGTGGTTTTCTAGAAAAATTGTTTATGGAATTGGAAACTTTGATAATTGTTATATTCATTCGAAACCTGACAAGGAGCACACAGAGTGTGTGACTGGTCAGCAGGGGATGCTCACCCCTCCATGGCACCTGATCCCACCTCTGATATTTTGGAGGTCTGTGTTTCCTCTGCTCCAAACTTGTAGTGTCCTTATTGTCTCCGCTCCTGTTTTGTAATTTATTGGACTTTCGAGCTGGTATACTGTTCATTATCACCACATATTCATTATTAATACATTGTCAAAGATTCCTCTTTTTACAGCATATAATTTGTGTTACTATTTATAAGACCTCCTGATCATGAGTATCTCATTTATGTCCTTTGTATAGAATGGCAAACAATCAGTTTCTGTAAACACTAATTATGATGGCTTCCCTCTCAGCATAGGATGGATTCGCTAGGGATTATAGATTTACAGATAAAAAATGGAATGAAGTGGAAATATTTTCATTTTCAGAAAGCTGAGTTTATGTAAATATCAAAAACATTAACAATATCAGTGTTTATTTGATATGTCATTGAATATCATACAATATTATGGACTCTTTTGGTGTCAGATATGGTTTGTTGTTCACCAGAAGATATCAATATTAACCACGGGGAAGCCAAGGTCAATATTTGCTATTTTTCTGGTGAACAACAAACCGTACTCAACACCAAAAGAGTTCATTATTGTTTTATTATATATTGTAAATCACAATTGTTACATCACAAATCATGATTGTATAGTATATACTATATGTACACCCCTAATTAAAACATACTAGTACATGAACATGTTTCACTTGATATGTGACTTACTAATTAAATACACATGTATTTACTTGTTTTTCATTTACTGTACATTGGATATAGATCAAGTGTTCTGTTTATGTTAAAATATTTTATCAGAAGAATGAATTTTCTGCGAATTTATGGCAATACTGCATGTAAAAAAAATGCAGCATATTCAATTGTTCAGGTATTATGTTATTGAGAAAATGCATACAATCGAGTAGTGACTGGTATATTAATAATGTAGAAGTGCATAGATTTTGCATGTATACATAATTAGGTTAAACATGGACTGAATATGTCTTTTTATATATATTCCTGAAGGATGAAGATTTATAAGAACCCACAGATTTCACCTTTCACTTTAAATCAGTGAAGCATATAAAACTATTCTTGTTACTATAACATTGCAGTTGATGTCTATCACTTTTTTCCCATGGCTCAAAATATTGATAGAGATGTTATTTCATTTTCAAACTCATAGCCTGCATGCAGATAAAAACTTGACTGAGATCCAATATTATAAATTTTTAAAAATGAAATTGAGGATGAGATGGCAATAAGAGTGTAAATGAATGAGATGGTGGATCTTTAAAAGCTATGATATGTAAGATATATATCTAATGGTCTGGAGGGTTTTTGATACTAATCTGTGGACTCATCCAGTATAAATCTTAATCATTCCAGTCTCCAGGGCTTAGATCACTGATCAGGAAGGGATTAGTTGACTCTGTAAGGAAATGAAGACCTTTTCTACACCTTATGTAATCAAATTTAACCCAAGAGAGAAAATTTAAAGTATTTCCCTGAGGTTTCTTTGGGGTGACACACACTTCAGTTTTCAATCTTAAGGGAGATAACTCTTATGTTTTAATATTTCTAAAGAATTGAATTATTGAAGAGAACAGCAAGGAAACAAATTTGATGTCTTTTTCATGAGTGTCCATTTTTTTATTGTTAGTTTGCAATTACATTTATGCCCATTTATAACTTAATTTTGTCCAGCATTATGTTATAATAGTTTCAAGCAAAGTAACAGCAATATACACATGCATCTGCAAATATTTTGAAAAATGTTTTAAATAGTTTGATTTCCAGTCATATTTAGCAGAGGTCTGTCACTAGCTAGGACTTGATTGAGATGAATCTTTCATTACCTTTCCCATTAAGTGTTATCAGGGTAATGGTTTTATAGGAATCCTTGACTTTATGAGGATACATTTGTCTTGGGAGATAAACTATACACAGTAAACTCTGTACCCCACCCTTATAGTCATTTGTGACACTCTCAAATATTTCTTGGACTTGCACATCTATCCTAGAATTATTAAATTTAAAGTTTTGTGCTCATTGTTGAAGTTCAGGACTTAGATTTAACTGTTATGGGAGTCTGTGCATCAAATGAAGCAGCCAGCATTGGTGAGAGTAATTTATGATACAAATATTCAATACGTACAAATTTATTCATTGATGTTTTAATAGCCAGCTATTGGGAATATTATTTTCCTTTTCACTTTCAGATATCACACAACATGATAAAAAATTTAAGCTCACTTCATTACTGATGTCGTAGCATATCTTTCAGATAGACTATATATACCTCAACCCCCCCCCCCCCCCCCCCCCCAAAATGAAATTGATATTTAAATAGTGTTAAGGAAATGATATGCATGTATAAGCAAAATGGAAAAGGATTAGAATACAGAATTTTAAATACAGTCAAACCTTGTTATTTCAAACCCATCTGGACCAAGGTATTATCCAAGGTTTTGGGATAATTGAATGTAACACTTCAAATGCTTTAAGAATAATAAGTCACTGGGACTTCCAAATTACTTTGACATTAATATCCATGGTATTCATGATATCAGTGTTTGAGATCATACTCCAGTTTAACTGTTACAATAATTTGTACCTGGTATATGTATAAATGAATTGCATAGACTTGACATTTACATCTGCATGGTAACAGTTTAAAGTATTATCCCATTGTTATGTAAATTTCAATACTATACTAATTATGTGTATTATGCAGATGGAGTATATTAGTAATAAACTTGGATATACAAGGACACTCCCAGCATGGCACTAGCAGTGAGGCATTTAATGCTTAGATTACTGACAGCCTAATACACTACAAAACATGTTATGTTACCATATATAGCCCAGCCCGGTCTGGGACAGGGTCTCAGATACTTGATAGGTATAGATTTTATTGTTGTCTACTATAACAATAGTAAGACAGGACATGTACTGGTTAGTCATTCTTCTGAGAAGTTAGCCTTGTCTAGTATAAAATAGGGCAGTATATCACATCCCCCACCCCTGAAGAAAATATATCACACTCAAGCAAAATATATCACCCCTTAAGCACAATATATCATGCTTTTAAGGTCCATATTATATCACCCTCTCAAGCACAATATATCACCCCCATCAAGAAGAATTCGTTACTCTTTTTATTACATGTGGACCAAAGTATTTAGTCTTCAACAGTTTCTCCTATGTATAAACTAAGTGCATTAAAGTGTGCAACTAGAAGTTGTCATCAAAATACATATAATATGAAGTCATATTTTTCTGTAACAGCAAAATTAGAATTTGGTTTGTAATGTTGCTCACTTATCATTCTATGTGATTAAGAAGACCTATAGTAACTGCAAGGTAGATTTAGCTTTTCATTTTTTTTTTCTTGATTGAGTTATGAATAAGAATCTGTTAGAAATGGGAATGGTAAGAGACTAAACATGACAACTGAGTCCAAAGACCATCAATCAGAAGAGTTGTTTCCTTATTAGGAATTACCTGAACAACAAACCTATCAGTGATCTTTAACTTGGTGCCAAAATAGTACCTGATAAGAGAACAAAACCCACATATGTTAATTTACAAAATTAGATCCATCCAGTCTGGTTTTTTCCCTTATAAGAGTGATCAACACTGCAATTAAAACTATAATTGAATTATATACATCATCAAGAAATAGGTTGCTTTGATATGACTTGGGATAATCATTTCTTTTCATTATAGCACTGGTTAATTTATTTTTTCTTTTTATGCTAGGTGAAAATCCTATTCCTTAATGTAAATTAATTTTAAGTTAGTACATACATCTGGTATATAGAGTACTGGGGCCCGTTTCACAAAGCTTACTTAGGACTAAGTTATATCTTAGGAAAGAACTTTTTCCTAAGTTCATTACTTATCCGTTTCACTAACCTCGTCTTATCTTAGGATATTCCTAAGTTATGTCGTAACTTTAGGACAGGTAAATCGATGACTTAGGAAGAAACTAAATAATACGACTGCATATCCAAGATTTCTTATGGAGAGAGAGAATGTGTTTGGGGAGAGAAAATCCAATGAACTACTAGTATATGGATGATTTCGCTCTATCCAGGTTAAACTGCTTTACTTTGCACGTAAATACTAGAATTTCAATAATTGGCCAACATGTATCAAAATTGTCCAAGGTATATAAAAATATCCGTTCACAAAATTAGAGTTGGCGAAATAGATGTACACATACTGGAATAATTCCCAATCATTTGAAGAGCACACCTTTGTTAACAAAAAATAGCACATGATTTGATCCAACTAGTAAACATGCATGCATATATGTTTTTATCTACATGTACATGTATATTTATGTATATATTACTAATATATTAATGGATATTAAAATAGAATTTGAAAAAGGATGTTCTAGATGAATGAAAACACTTGTTCACTTTAGATAAGTACATGATTTTTGATGAACCCCCAACCAAGCTCCGGATATATACTAGTAGATGTTTCTCCCAAGAATGGTTGCAGATAATCTCCTCTAGGACGTTATTATTGAGAAGACACAAACATAACGAAGTTTTGTTTTCTATAGAATTCTATACATAGGAAAATTATTATTATACCCCCCTCCCGTGCTCTTCAAGTTCCTACGGACATGCGATTACAACCAGTTATGCTCCCAGCTTAATAAATGTATAGCTGTGCAAGAGATTTCAATAAATTTCCTTTTTTAACTTCTTCTTTGGTATTTTCATATCTGTAGTCGCAAATTTGGGATTTTTTTTCTAGCATGGTATTCTTATTTTATATATGTGAGAAAGCTTTACACAGCACGAACAACTAACGTGGAACAGTCATTAGAAAAGCATTTTTTATTGCCCTCACATGTGTTCACTAAGAAGCAATCATTTTAAAATTTCATTCAATAATTGACAAGTAGAAAAGTATAGTAAAAAACAATACCCGGGATCGATACTTTATAAAGAGCAAAATAAAGTAAACCTATAAAACGTGGAACAATATTTTAAAAAATACATATGTCGTGTGCTCGGATGGGAAGAAGGCTTGAAAGGGTGTGTCTGTGAATGCTTAGTTCTAGCAGCAAACTTCGCAAAGTAAAACTTACTTCTGTCCAAGTCCTTTGAAAGTGGGGATAATCCCCTCCGTTTTTTGAAGCTAAAAATATAACCCAGACTGACATACTGAGAGTTGTAGATAGAGCGGAGAAGTTATTAGTCCTTATAAAGGTACAACTTAAGAAATGACTTAGGAAAAATTTAAGATAAGATTGTTTCGTGAAACAGCTGTGACAAATCTTGGAACTTCCTAAGTTATAACTTAGGCATATCTTAAGTTATGTCTTACGACATATCTTAGGAAATGTTTGTGAAACAGGCCCCTGATCTGGTATGATTTAAAAACACTGTTATCAGAAAACGTTCTAATTTATGTTCCCTCTCTTAGTACTGATTTATCATCTCAGACCCAGGCAGCTTGTCATGTGGGGTATTTAAAGATTATAAACAAGGTCTATCTTACTATAAACCTAAGCCAAGTTTTTACTGTTAGAAGTTTTGTTGTGTTTTTGTAATGGTAGGTAGACTTTTTAAATTTAAATAGCATGTTTATAAATGTAATGTAGCTATTATATTAATATGTATGTTTCTCAGTGTGAAAAATTAAATGTATGCATCAGTTCACTTCATTCCAATGTAATAATTTTTGTTGGTTCTTTAAAAGTTTTAATCTGAGGTGAAATGAAGAATGATGAAAAAATATTGTACATTTTGAGGTCAGTATGCATGCTCAATGAATATTTACTCCTCAGGTGGCCGAATCATCAAACTAAATTAAGAAAACAATAATAATTGTGTTATATATTATATGATTAAATGATTACAGATTATTATTATTTAAGCTAAAAAATCGACAACTTATCTGAAAAAAAATCATTGATGATCGAGACCCCAAAAGAGGAGAGGTGTCCAAGTTTGATTTCATTAAAGTTGAAGTATTTGTGTGATGTGGGAAGGATATAGCTATACTATATCCAATATTTGGATGGACAGCTTGTCTTTCATGGAACACTTTCATGTTTAATGTAACCAGGTTAATTCCCCAAAGAAGAAAACTTCAATTGTTGTTCTTAAAAGGGTTCTTTAATTTAGATAATGGATATATGTAAGGACAGATAGATCAAGTTCATCATATTTGGGCCATTTACACCATTTTTTATATTCACACTCTTGGACATTTATTTTAAACTTGCATGTTAAATGCTAACCAGGGGCATAAGTGTCTCCCTGACACACCTATTTCAATATTTGTAGAAGAAACAAAGTAAATAAAATGCTCATTGTGACACGTTCATATTAAAGAAATATGTGAAAGGGTTTAATACAAATACAAAGTACTTTGGGATAGTAGAATTTGCTCTCAGTATTTGTGTACTGATATGTCACAAAATTTTACTAGAAGATAAGATACAATTTTATTAGTATGCATGCAATACATGTATGCAACACATACAATGTATATTTCTATAGGATAACATAATTGAAACAATTCAATTTAAATCATATATAAGATATTTTTGAATTGAATATGCATAATAAATTTCATAAAGCTTAATAAATTATGACCTTTATTTTATAGCTGGAGAATCTGTGAAGAAGAGATCAGGCAGCAAGAAATCCAATGGTGTAGAAGCTAGGACATCTAAAAATATAGACCCTGATTCCGTGAATTCTGGGAAATCAGAAAATGTGGACTGCACACCTATAAATAGAACCAGTCTCCCAGTGACCAAAGAGGAGCCGATAAACGATAGCAGTGCTCATGCTCAAGAAAATTCTAATGCAGTGAGTGGTGAACAAAATACTACAACCACTAAAAATTCAGAGGAATCTAGTGAAACAAATAATATTGATGATTCTAAAGATTCTGTAAATGCTAATAACAGTAGTGAAGAAAATTCTGAAACTAGTAAAACAGTGAACTCTGAGGAAACTACACTAAAAGTAGAGGACCAGAAAGAAGAGAAATCTGAATCAGAAACTTTGGAACAAGGTCCCTTAGAAGAAGAAGATCTTGACAAAGACGTTCAAAACCAAGCGGAGGAACCTCAGAAAGAGGCTGAAGATTTGAAAGAAAATCAGAAAGAGGCTGAGGAGTCTGAAGTAAAGAACACTGAAGAGGAGGAGACAGGAGAAGGTCCTGAGGACACAAACAAGGAGCCACCCTCAGAGGAGCCTAGCTCAGTAGACAATAAAGAGGAGGAGCCAGCAGATAACACAGAGGAGGTACCACCAGATACAACGGAGGAGGTACCCCCAGATACCACAGAGGAGGAACCAGCAGACACGACAGAGGAGGAAGCCACAATAGCAGACGACTCACAGCCAGACAACACAGAGCAGGTAACACAAGGCAGATCTGAAACACATCTAGAACAAGTAACTACTACAGCTATCATTGTCATGATTTTGTGTTATGTTTTGTAGTTTTAATTAACATTATTATATAGCATAAATGTGTTCTCATGGAGACAACCTATCCAGACTGTTAAGAGAACTATTTTTAATTACTTGTTCACCTAGAAAATATTAGATGTACACTACAAGTGTCAAATAGCCCCCGAAGTGACCACAGTGTTACGGGTTTTCTCATTATCTAGTCTTTGTGCATACACAGCAAGTCTTATTTGCAGTTAGGGACTGGTTGCTTGTCATTTGTTACAGGTGTATGACATCTTTAATGATCAGACGAACACTTCACCATTAATGTGTTAAACTTGTCATCTCTACAAAAAGGTCATAAAACACAGATAAAAACATGTGTTCCAAATTCTCAGAACTAGGATTTCTCTAACTTAAACAAACCTGACTGAAAATACCTGGTTTACAGAGCACTGGCTCTGAAATAATTTCCAGTATATTTTAAATCCTTTTGAAGAGGATTTGTTTGTTAGTGAGTGCTGTGTTTTTACAGACAGAAGATCAGGAGGAACCAGACCAAGGAGAACCAGTCCAGGTTGTCACAGACGGTGTTGGTGTGGAGCAGCAGGAAGATTCAGTAGAGGATATGGCAGACACAGTGTCAGCAGTCGTCTGTAGAGAATCTGATCTCAAGGATGGAGAGTGAGTTATTAAAGTACTTACAATCTAATAAGTTATTTCTTGTAAAAGGAACTAATACTTTGTACATGTAAATAGTCACAGTAGAATCATTTTGATTCAGGAGGGGGGAGGGGAAGGGGTATTTTATGTTACAGTGGGAGGAAAATTCATGTATATCAGAAGATTCAGTGAACCAGCATGTATGTGGGAATGATAATTCATGTGAAAGAGTAGAGCACAAAATACAATATTGGTCCAATAATCAATGATGAATCCATATTGTTACTCAGATTTTTTAAAAAAATTTATTTTCATTCTATACACTTACCATTATTCCTGGGTTAGTATGTTTACATTCAATATTCAGTGTCAAAAGGAAGCAATTTAGATTATTTAATAGGATTTTTAGGTCACCTGAGTCACTCAGGTGACCTATTGCTATCCGTTTTCGTCTGTCGTCGTGTGTATGGCACACCAAATTCACAAAAATGAGATAAACATAGTTTCACAATTGATAAACTAGGTTTATCGACTGTAAACTATAGTTTACAAATCGTAAACTATAGTTAACGATTCGTTAAGTATAGTTAACGATTCGTTAAGTATAGTTTTCATCTGTAAAACTGTATTTAACGGTTGTTAACTATAGTTTACGAATGATAATCTTAGTTTATCTCTCTGTAATAAGCGTTAACAATAGATTTTGTTGATAAACATAGATTCACGTTTGTAAACTATTGTTTACAATCGAAAACTATAGTTAAGAGTTGTTAATCATAGTTTCACAAATCGTGAAACTATATTTATCAGATCGTTAACTATAGTTAACGGTTTGTAAACGATAGTTTACAAATCGTGAAACTGTATTTATCAGATAATCTTTGTTTTGCAATTGCAAATGATTGTTTTTAGTGTTAAGTATAGTTTACGGTTGTGAAACATAGATTATCGCGTTAACTATGGTTTACGGATGTAAAATATAGATTAACATTGTTAGCTATAGTTTACAGTCCGTAAACTATAGTTTGCAACCGATAAACCTAGTTTATCGACTGTGAAACTATGTTTAGCTCATTTTTGTGAATTTGGCGTGCCATACGTGTGTTAACATTTGAACATTTTCAGCTTCTTTTCTGAAACCACGGAACCAATTTCAACCAAATTTGGTATACAGCATCTATGGGTGAAGGGGAACAAAAATTTTGAATTTCATGGTCCCTGCCCCCCTGGGGCCTGGGGGATGGGGCCAAAACCACTAAAATTAGTGCAATCTTTAAAAATCTTCTTCTTTACTCCTGGACATCAAGCAATCAAACTGTTGGCATGAATGTAATGAGCATTGAGTTCTCTACCAAAATTGTGAAATTCATGGCCCCAGGGTCAGGGGTTCTAGTGCTAGGGCTGGGCTAAATAGATTATATAGTGAAAATGCATTAATTCTTTGAAAATCTTATCTGCTCCTGGGTATCAAATAAACTAACTAAGTACATAGTTATGATGAGCAAGAGTGCCTCTTTCAAAATTATTAATTTTATGGCCCCAGGGTCAGGGGATCTAGTGTTAGGGCAGGGCTCTATTGATAAGATTATATAATGAAAAAGTCATTTATTCTTAGAAAATCTTCTTCTCTGCTCCTGGTATCAAATAAACTAACTAAGTACATAGTTATGATGAGCTCGAGTGCCTCTTCCAAAATTGTGAATTTTATGGCTTCTGGGTCAGGGGTTCTGGTGTGGGGGGGGGGCTCAATTGATTATATAGTGAAAAGACATTAATTCTTAGAAAATCTTCTTCTCTGCTCCTGGGTATTATATAAACTAAGTACATAGTTATCATGAGCAAGAGTGCCTCAACCAAATTTGTGAATCTTATGGCCCCTGGGTTAAGGGTTTTGCCATTTGCTATAAGGGGGCGGGTGTCTTTTGATTATATAGTGAAAATATATTAATTCTTAGAAAACCTTTTCCTTTGCTTCAGGTTTTATGCCAATGATCTAACTATATTTATGATGAAGAAAGGTGCATCTAGCAAAATGATTACTTTCAGGTCCCCAGGGTCAGGGGTATTGAGGGGTGGGGTGGGGGTGGGATGTTACATAGTCTGAAAATAAATTAATGCTTTTAAATCTGCTCTTTGGTATTAATCAACCATTTATGATGAAATAAAATTTATGATAAAATTTCCAAAATTTTGAAATATTTGGCCCCAGGGTCAGTGGTTCCTGTGGGGTGGGATTCACAACTGGTTATAAAGTGGAAGTGCATTTTCTCTTTGTTATTCTGATCTACCTTTGGGTATTAAGTAACTAGAGTAAGCGTGCCAAGTGTATAATTATGATAAGCAATGGTGCCTCTTTCAAACTTGTGAATTTAAATCATGGCCTCTGGTTTAAAACACGAACCAAATTCAATTGTTGGAAAGTTGTTACATGCTACTCAGGTGACCTATAAGGCCCGTGGGCCTCTTGTTCTTCATTGTAAGAGTTAAGGAAGATTTTTAAATGTGAATTAAAAAACCGAATGAACTCATAGGTGCACTTGATAAGAGTTCCATTTTTGGTACATGTGTAAAATAAAGATGACATTTTCCCTGTTTATAATGGTAGGATGAAGGAGTTTGACCTTGGTGATGGTAAGGTCCTAGTTGTCCGTGAAGGACCAGAATTCCATGCTCTGGGATCTAAGTGTACTCACTACGGGGCTCCACTCATCAATGGAAGTCACTGTAATGGCAGGGTCCGCTGCCCCTGGCACGGAGCTTGCTTCAGTGTGAAAACGGGGGATATAGAAGACTTCCCAGGACTAGACAGCATTCCAAAGTTCAAGGTTAATAATAAACATTGAATGTTGTGTGCATAGACTCAGGCATGATATGCTGAAATACCAAATGCATACAGGAGTAGTGAAACTTGAGTGCAAAGTTATCAATGTAATTTCATGAAATTTAAATAAAATATCCATTTTAATTTTATTTGAATTTTTAAAATAAAAGTGTTGATCTATGAAGTTAAATGTATATCTTTGTGTACCGGTACTTATATCTGTGGTAGTATTTATTGCCATTGAAATTAATTCACTGTTTTTTTACAATAATTTGTGTAATGATGATGAACTTGATAAAGTTCTGACAGACTTTCTGACATTTCCAGACTGAAGTCAAGGATGGCAATGTTAAAGTCACTGCCAGCAAATCAGCACTAGCTGATCCTAAAGTCCAGCGTAACATGTGTAAAGCAGCCAAACCCAGTGACAAAAAAGTCCTTATCATAGGTGGAGGTAACGAGGATATCTGTTTTAACTTTAATCATTTTAAATAATCACGATTGATCATGTGTTGAACTGAGATAATTTTATATGGTTTTGGCACATTTATGTATTTTATACTGCATTATAGGTATTTTGACATTTAGAATATTTGGTGAGTTTGATATTTTAAAAAACATGAGAAGAAATATTAGCATTTTATATTTTAATGAATTTTTATTTTCAATACTTTGTATAGTAAATGTTTAAACATGATGAAAATATTCACTCATGGATTTTTGGAAATTTGTCGGATTTATGAAATAAACCAAATGTTCAGTGTATTAAATCACTAAACTAATCAAAATCTTGTACTTTTAGGCCCCTCCTCTGTGACTTGTGCTGAAACATTGAGACAGGAAGGGTTTACTGGAGAAATCACCATAGCAACACAAGAAAACAACATTCCGTACGACAGACCCAAACTTAGCAAGGTTTTTGGAGTTCACTGGCTTGATACAAAATTTTACATAAAATATTTCAAAATTTCTTGATTTTCTTCTCTTTTACGTTTCGTAAAATAATTTTTTTTTAATTTTTAGGCATTGGACATGACAGCAGATAAGATAGCTCTAAGGAGCTTGGACTTTTATACCAAAGCTGACATTAATATCCTTAAACAGAAACAGGTACAATATTACACTTCAGTAGCACTGATTTGTTTATGTCTCTTACATAATTTATGTCAAACTGAGGTCACCTTGGCTTCTGAATATAAAACAGAGGATTTTATTACTCTCCAAGAACCTCACTTGATGAACTTTACTCAGTGAATCAAAAGTATAGCACGAAGATATAGGAATATCTTTAGAATAGATTAAAGGTCAATATTATTTTATCTGATCTGTGTAAAAGTACCCACTAAATAGAAATGATATTTCATTAATTATCCCTCATGTCTTATGATATTTAGGCGACTGCTGTAGACACTTCCAGCAAGACAGTCACCTTCAAAGATGGCAGCACAGAATCGTACACGTCACTAGTCGTCGCCACAGGAGGGCGGTAAGACAGTTTCTGATGATAAAACTAGCCTTAATTAGACTCAGACTAATTATTATGCAATTATTTGTTATCATTTGCAAATCATTTTATCCAACATTCATTTTGTTTTCTGTGATAACAGAACATTCTAGATTTTTTAAAAAAGACAGTAGTATAGTTTAATGCATAAACATGATAAATGTACATTGTACATTATAAATTCTATCAGTCTAATACAAAAATGCAAACTAATTCCAGTTTATACATTAAAGGTTCTCTATAAAAGATTTTTACTTGGATTTACATGAATTTTTTCCTATTTAATGGAAATAATATGAAAATTTAGATACTTATCACACACATTTAAAGAACTTAAATGAAACACTGATATGCCATCACATTCTCAACTGTATATGAGGATTATTTTGATCTTTCTTCAGACCACGAGTGTTACCAATCCCAGGAACGGATCTAGAGAATGTTTATCAGCTGAGAACTCCAGAGGATGCCAATCAAATCGCGGAAAAGGCTGCAGGCAAAAATGTTGTCATTATTGGATCCTCGTTCATTGGTTTGTCTGATGGCTTCGTTCATTTCAGTGGTCGTGCGATGTTACTGTCAGGTTTTCTCAGTAAACAAAGAATGCAATGATCCAAGGAATTAGTCAATCAGATATATTCAGTAAATTTGCTTATTGCTTACTTTAAAACACATTGAAAATTAAAATTAAAAAAATAATTGAATGCGATTCATTGCAAGTGTATTTCTGATTTTCAAACATCAAAGCAATTGATTAAATGAATGCAAGGAATATTTTCTTGATTTTCACCTTTTGAGTGGCATTATAATTAATGCTAAGATATATGGTCCATTTTCAATATTGATTCCAATTTTTAAAGTTCAACTTATAATTAAAAAGATAAAAGTTTTTGTCCTCAGTCTTCATATTTAAGAGGTTTTAGTTATTACTCCATCTGTAATAGTATAAGATGCTAAAAAATTCTTAGTTCTTTGTTTCAAAAATATTTGTTTAATCTTTATAACAAATTAATGTTACATCACATAGCACTTAATTGTAAAAGATATGCTGTTGCAGCAGAGGTATTTGTGAGGTACTTTTACAGTGCATCAGACAGAAAATTGCTTTTAAAACATTGATCTTGATGAAACTTTTGCAACATCTGAGAAAGTACTTTACAGGCAGGTGCTTTTAGATGCAGGATAAATACATATTGTACATTGCTTAAGTAAAGCAGGCGGATGGTGTGGTAACTTGGGTTGACTTTCTTGAACAGGAATGGAGGTGGCGTCTGCATTAGCTGGCACCGCTGCCACTGTTTCAGTGGTGGACATAATCAAAGTCCCCTTCCAGCTGGTTCTAGGAGAGAAAGTGGGATCAGTTTTACAGAAGGTACCACATAATGCTTAGTTTCTTGTTAAATGTGCTTCTTTAGTGGTGCATAGTGACTTTTTAAAACCTTGGAGACTAATATTTAATATTTACAAGATGGTAATTTTTTTTTAAAAATTGTGGAACCCAAAAAAGTCTGTCTTCTAGGTTTTAGATTTGTCTTGCATGGTGATGGGATTTTAGATTCATTTTTTTCTGTCTTGCTGTGAAATAGTGTGTTACTTTTATATACCTACACCTCATTCACTGAGAAACATAAGCACTGATTTTCCTCAAAATTATTCACAATTAACACTGCACTATTTTTTTCTGTATCACTAGCTTGCACATTTCCTCAGACAAGTTATAATGCTTTTAAAATCTGTGTACTAATATTCTTTCGTTATATTCTTTTCAATTGCCAAAGTGTAGAGTTGAGCAGACTAATACAGTGTATTTACCCAAGTGTAGGATGTTGTTTATATGTTGAGGACTAAATACGGTATAGCCTGAATTAGTCCTGTATCAGGGTACAGATAAAAAAAGATGACCACGTCTTCTTTTTGGTGTATTATTTCAGCCTAAAAGTCAAGTGTTTAAAATTGTAACTGCCTGTATATTGCCTAGTCAAAATAAAAGGAATAACAAAATTCCATGTAGAATTCCACAATTAAAAGCATTCGTCTATCAAAATATGCATTATCTTTCTGTCAGATATTCTTTGCAGACCCATGTTGTTTAACATATCTGGAATTTGAAATCTTCGAAATACAGTCTTCCCTATATATTTTGTCATCTCCACATTTTGCAGCACACAACCCATATAAAATATTCCTTGCATTCATTCCTGAAGTGTGTGTATAAAATATAACTGAGAACTATTCTGCTTAGGGATGGAGGTGGCAGCTTCTGTTGTAGACAAAGCTAGATCTGTATCTGTGTTAGCTAGAGGAAAAGTCCCATTTCAAAATACTCTAGGATTAAAAATTGGCACCCTGCTCAAAAAGGTAAAATCTCAATGGTTTAATGTAAAGCAAATACATCATTCACCTGTGTTTTTTTGTTTGTTTGTTTTTTTTTTTTTTATCAAATGCTATTTTTTTTGCTGCATATATTTATTTAATGATGAATTTTCAAATTTGTTAAAATCATGTTCCAAGGGGTAGTGTGGGGCCACAATAGGGGAGCAAAGATTCATTTGAAATATTTTAGAAACAATTTTAGATATACTTCAAAACTTGTCATTGGACCTCTGTTGAAGATTTCAGATCATCCATAAGACTTTTGAGTGCTAGGTGAACAGTAGCAACTTAATTTTATCAACTTTGATCAGTTGCTGATGGGGGATTACACCAATCATCTTCCGATCATGGGACAAATGCTCAATTTGAAATATTTATGGAGGAAATCTTTAAAAATCTGATGAAGAATGACATGGGCATTGTTATATTACTATGCAAAATCTTCAGGTGGTGTAGATTTAATTTTGTTGAAGTTTTCATTTGTTAAAAGCTTATTTCTAAAAAAATATCTTTTAAAGATGCATGAAGACAATGGAATGAAGTTTTATTTTGAGAGGGGGATCAAGGAATTTGTAGGGAGTGATGGTAAAGTGACTGAAGCTGTTTTATCTGATGACACAAAGCTACCAGCAGATGTGTGCATTATGGGAGTAGGTAAGAGAAACAAGAGTCTGACATTAAATCTAAAGACTCATGTAGTACATGTAGTTACATGTATTTACTCAGTACTTCTTGAAAACTTGGGAGTAAACTTCTCTTTTGACAGGTGTGGTTCCTGCTACTGATTTCATCAAAGATTCTGGTATAGACATGACTAACAGAGGATTCATTCCTGTAAATAAAGTAAGTAATAGTAGCTAAAGAGTATATTTTAATTAATTTGAATATGCCAATGGAGGAGAAGCAAAGAAAAATAGTGTATTTATGAATAAGAAGAGTTCTATTGATGAAAAGAAATGTAAATACATCCTATCGATCATAGATGCACATTTACACTTGATGAATTTGTTTTAAGATGATGCAGACAAATCAGTCAGATGTCTATGCTACTGGTGACATTGTGGAATTCCCACTCTTCAGTGTTGGAGATCAAAAAGTTAATGTCCAGCACTGGCAGATGGCTCATGCACATGGTATGGAGCAATTGCCGGCTTATGTGGTCCTAACTCAATAGTCGCTATTTTAAAGTCATCTCAAAAGTTTTTATCTATATAAAATAAACATTTGTAGTAATGACTTTGAAAACTTCATAAGTCAAAGAACATAGTTCATTAGCATAAGGATTTTTGATATATAGTCACAAAACGAGGTAAAGCAGGAGAGGGAACCAGAATGGCCTGTTTCTTTACATTCAGCTGCGGTACCAGAAATTCTGATTCTGACAAAATCGGACCGTGGTATTAGGAAAAACTCACTGTCAGTGTCTTATCATTTATATTGATAGTTTTAAAATAATTTTTTCATCAGAATATAAACGTGATTCATGTAAGAAATCCATTCTACTCTGTAAATGAGCCCGGCTCTCTGTACTTCTGAGTACTTTGATTGTTATATGGTTTATATAGTCACAAAACATAAGTCTAATTTCATTTAATACATGTACTACAAATGTGATATCTGAAAATGACTTTTAATTGCTAGTATTTTATTTTTAGGAAAAACAGCAGCCCTTGGAATTTTGGGAAAAGATGAACCAATTAGAAGTGTGCCATTCTTTTGGACAGTACAGTATAAGAAAAGCATTCGCTACACAGGTGACTATATCAAATTTGTAGTGAAAAAGAAAATAATTCATAGAATTGGTACTGTACCTTTAAAATGTTTACATCGTTCTAACTTGATTTAAAGAGGAATAAATTAATTGTGAATTAAAAGTTGTCTGTAATCCTTAAAATGACAGTAGTATGTGTCATTTGCAAACTTCTGGATAACAAAAAAGACTAGAATTTTCTGGAGAAAGTAATTTGAAATATTTTGACTGTGTATGATAAAAATCAAATGTGTTAAATTACAAATCGTATTATTCTAGAAGACAGTTTATTTATAACTTTTAACCTTTCTGTTGCTATCAAGGTTATGGTCCAGGATATGATGACATCATTGTACATGGAGACCTGGATGCTCCCAAGTTCATTGCCTACTACACAAAGTAAGCTCATCACATGACGGTCATTACAACATTTATGTCCTGAAATACCAGATAAATTTATTGAATAACAGCGAAAAGCAACCTTGTTGAAGTATTGTCATTTTATTCCTGATTTTCATTTTTTTTTAAAGAGGAGATGAGGTGGTGGCAGCTGCAAGTTTGAACTTTGACCCCTTTGTGTCCCGCATTGCTGATATGATGCTGGCTGGAGAAAAGATCCTAAAAAGTGAAGTTCAGTAAGTGTAGAGTAAATCCTAAAAAGTGAAGTTCAGTAAGTGTAGAGTAGATCCTAAAAAGTGAAGTTCAGTAAGTGTAGAGTAGATCCTAAAAAGTGAAGTTCAGTAAGTGTAGAATGTGTTTTGCTACATCTTCAGAGTGTAATTTATGCATGACTACATCTTCAAAGTGTAGAGTATGCATGACTACATCTTCAGAGTGTAAATTATACATGACTACATTTGATCAACAGTTAAATTAGATTTCAGCACCTAAAAAATGTAATTTATGCATGCGAGAAATTTTATTTCACGAGTGATGCTTCTAGCAAAATTATACATGATAATAAAGTGTAAATTATGTATGTTTACATCTTCAAAGTGTAGATCATGTCTGTTTACATCTTCAAAGTGAAGTATTTTAAATGATGATATTGTATATCTTCAAAGATGAACTCATAGTGTATAATCATGAACATTATAATCTATTATTATGTTCAGCTGTGAAGTTCTTTTAACCTTTTAACCCACCTCCTAAACACACTCATTAAGATTTTTAATAATGTTTAATCCTTCTGAAATAATTTAATTTTTTAAGCAATTGTTAGATTTATTTCAAAATATGTGGAGTACTAATGAAGACTAAATGATGCTTCACTGTATATTTTCCCCAGAGATTGTGTTCTGTTTATTTGTAGTCAGTCATTAAATATCAATAGAACTGTCATTTAAACTTGAATTTACTTCCTCAAAGAAGCAATCAAATTGATAAGTAAATTCTTATTTAATACAAAATACAATATACTGTACTTCTTGTTAAATTGGCTGTCAGTATAGGATTATTTTCATTTGATTATTCACAGGTCCAGTGCCGATGGCTGGATGTCAAGGTTTGAGAAACTCTCCATAAAGGCCTAGGATCCCCTAAATCATGCTCATATCATCCAGACCAATCACCATTTCCAGTGCTGAGGCAATAAAAACAATTACATGTGTATAACTAGTGCATTACTTATCAAATTATTTAGTAACTTTTTGCTTCTGACAGAGAAACTGTATGTAGTGTGTGATTCTGTATATCTGATATTATCTAAGAAATGTGCAACAAAATAAGTGCTTTACATGTATTTCAAGTTTTAAAGAAAGAAATGGTAAATGGGTGTAAATGGATTTACTACAGTGTAGTTTTATTGAATTTTCAAAAATGTGTACATGAACTATTTTTTTTCAAAGAATTATCATTACGACTGTACATCTTAGGAAATATTATATAACAATAAATCAGTATAACCTAAAAATGTGCTTTTTTTATACCCTCCAAAATACACAATTATATTTAGTTATCTCTACAAACCATGCTCCTGACCTTAACCAAGGGCAAGTAGGAAAAGTTCAAGGTCATTTTCAGAAAAATACTGTATACAGGTAAATTTTCGCCCCCGTTTTATTTTAGCCCTTTTCACCCTACCCTCATTTGGGCGAATTTAAAACGGGGCGAATTCAAAGAATACAGTATAATTTCTTAAACAAATCTATGACTGGGCGAATTTAAAACGGGGCAAAATTGTTTGCAAGAGTGAAAGGGCGAAAATAAGACGGGGCGAAAATAACCCTGTATACAGTATACAATTCCTTTCTTGATCATTTTTATGCCCCTCTTCGAAGAAAGGAGGGCATATTGCTTTGCTGCTGTCTGTCAGCAAAGCAGCTGTCTGTCGGTTGGTCTTTTGTAGGTCGGTCTGTTGGTTGGATGTTCTGTCTGTCGATCCACCAAGTTTCTGTTCATTTTTTTCACAACCAAATGAAATTTGGTATACAGATTTATCATAAGGGTATGATCAGGCCATTTTTGACAAAGTTATGCCCCTTGGACTTAGAAAAATTCCAATTATTTGCAGTTTCCGTTCATTTCCTCTGCAGCGTTTGATTATACTGATATGAAATTTACAGATTTATCATAAGAACATCTATTAAAGTCAAGTTCTGTTCTGGGTACGATCGAGCCATTTTTGACAGAGTTATGCCCCTTGACTGAGAAAAATTCCAGTTATTTGCAGTTTCTTTTCATTTTCTTTGCAGAGGTTGCACATACTGAAATTGAAATTTGATATACAGATTTTTTATAAGAATATCTAGTTCAAGTTCTATTTTGGGTACAATCCAGCAATTTGGGACAGAGTTATATTCTTTGGACTTAGTAAATTTTTCAATTATTAGGGGGAGGGGGGCATAAGTGTTTTACAAACATCTCTTGTTGTATTATGGAGAAGCATTGACAAATTTATATTGCATATTACATGAATATAAAGAAAATGGGGAAAAAGGGCAATATCAACCAAAAGGATTAGTTTTGAGTCCACAATAATGGGAAAATATTGGAAGCAGACTCGTTTTATTTTTTCAAGTTTTTTTTTGGTCATGTGAAAATGTGTCTGAGAGGGTCATTATGCAAAACAAGTTTGCACAAGTAAGTTTTTCATACTTGTCTAAGAACAAGGTCACTGAAAAAAAAGAAGACTAGGCCTACCCCAGAAGCTTTTGAATCTCAAATACTAGGTACACTGCTTAAGAAGTGAGGACATGCCATGGCCCTGATCTTCCCATCCAAGTGATTACTTGTGGGTTCTTTATACACTGGACAGAGGACATTTGCCTGAATAGCTTACTAGTTGGATTACCTGACTAGTAATGCAGGGATCCCGGTTTCAAATCCCTATCCAGCAATACCTTTTCTATTTATGAATTTTCAATGTATGTTTACCCATTCCTCGACCCTTTCCATACAACAGCTTCTTTTAACAAATGATAAAATATCATATATTTTATAACCCTCACTCATCCCTGTACACAGGAAACCATTAATTGTTAGAGTGACCCACTTTGAATCCACATTTACAGTGAAGCAATTTTCAATCCCTCAGCTTTTAAATGTTTTGTATTGCTCATCCCTAGTACTTTGTTATAAATAAGTTTCTCTGTATTTTCCACAAGTCTCTTAGACTTGGATGGTTCATGTTACCCCATACAAATACACTTTCATAAGAAACATACACTGTTAAATAAATTATTGATTTTATTTTGAAAACTTAACAAAAAAGCACATACAGGTACATGCACTTCACAGTTTCTTTTTTTCCTTCATCACTTAGAAATGTTTCCTTTCTTTTCTATTGAACTGGTGTAAGTAAAAGCATTTTAAACAGTAGAAGGATCTTTCTTAAGTCATTAAAATATAAACTCATAACTGCTAAAACCGATCTTTTCTCTTTCTTCCTGTGTACTTTGAATCTCCACGTACTTCCCTGAAAAGAATAATAAATTGGGAAAAGTTCACTTAATAGTCTATGGATATAATAGCATTCAGATAGGAATTGAATTTAAAGAAAAGAAAAACTGTGATTACTTAATCTTTCAGTTTTGTAAATAATATGTCTCTATTTGTAATTGTTAGTCACATGTTAACTATATGAGTAAGAATCAAAACTGACACTAAGTTTTATTTTGCTGGTACATTATAAGTCTGCCATTATCTCATTTCCATCATATTTAAAACTTCTGTATGATATTGTAACAGCAAGAAGAAAAAAATGCCTGAAGTATCAAAATGAAATACACCCACTTTCCCTGTCTGCGTCTTCTCTCTTTCTTTGACAGAATCCAGTCTCTGTTGGTCTTGGGGTTTTTCCCTCTCATGTTCTTCAGTCTCTCCCTGTAACAGAATGCATTCATTGTTAAGATTTATTACTCTTTCTGCTTAACATTAATGTTTCTTTATTAAAACTACTCCATTCAATTTTCAACACTCAACTGCAGTTTAGAGTTTGTATATTACTGTTTTTTGATGATTTTTATATCTGTACACATTTTATTGAAATCAACCTGAAACTGTTAGAGAGGAAGCATTTTGTTTTTATTTTCTGTAACCATGTCAATGCTACTCATTATGATCTTGAACTTATATAATTATATTCATGTAATTTTGAGTCTGAATTGTTTCCTGCTTTAATGGCGTCATATCTGTAACAGAAGTAGCATTTTTCAGAAAGAATTTTAAAGAAATTTCTATTTAAATACCCCCTTGTAATAAAAAAAAACAAAAACAAAAACTGATGAACATGCACCAATTGAAAACTTATATTTTAATTTAAAAGACAACAGAAGTGTCATTGAATTTTATTCAGTGGTAAAGCGGGTGTTGCTGATAAGAAATGGGTACCCTCAAGTGTTATGGATAAACATAAGGACAGACCAGCCCCCTCCCAACCCCAACCCCCCACCCATCACAAAATACCTTCCCCAGCTTTTCAAACAGGTTGTAATATAGACAGAAATGTGTATATACATGTACATGTACGACAGTTGATCCAAAAGTAATGTCACAGTGTCCATGTCTTTTATATTTTGCGTCATATTATCAATTACAATATACCAAAAGATGCACAAATAAAAATCTAATAAACATTGAAATTTTCATTTAATTATGTTTATTTAAATTTACTTTATAGATGTTTAAAACATAAAGCATAGGGGTGACAGCTGAACGTCATATTTTAAAGTTTATTTTTTTTTAGAATTAAAAATAACACATTTAAAAGATTCTAAAAAAGCACCAAATCTCTCATTTTTTTCAATAAGACACAATTCAAGTCATTTTCTAGTCTTTAATTGAAAATTAAATGACGACATTGGTATTTGTGATCATAAACATTGTTGTTTTAGTCCTTTGAATTGAACAAAAGGAGTGTCGATATGGGAAAAAAAAAAACAGCTCGATGAGTTGTAATGCATTTTTGCTTCAAAATACGGGAATCATCATTAGCGACAGTTACATTAATTAACTACACTCAAAGAATAAAGAATGTAAATAACAGACTTCTTTATAGATGGTTTCAGTAATTTTGGGCTGATGATGGGTCAGTGAATGATCAACAGAGGAGAAGAAGACCGAAAGATAGGAGATCGGACGTAAACGTTCAAAGGTGTCTGACGTTGTCAAAAAACACAGACGGATAGAGTGACATGTATATTTTTAAGTTTGCCTTAAGCTACTGTTCAAAAAAATTTGACAACGGGCTTAATTATGAAAAGAGTGAGTGTATAATGGTACCGAAAATTCTTAAAGAAAGTGAAGTTGGTGAAAGTGTTTGCGAATCACAAATATTTTTTTAATGAAATGAAGGGGAAACGCTTAAAAGTATGACGGCGCGGATCCGTCATATGACGTTATATTTAGGTGTGGCGAGTACCATAAACGCACATTGTTTAAAATCTGATATTTTGAAAAGCATATATCATATTCCTTTGAATTTTTCAGGTCTGATTTGAAATAAATAAAGCTTTCGTCGTGTATAATTTTGCTGTTTTACATCGATTTATAGCAATTTTATCAAAGTTGTGACATTTCTTTTGGATCAACCCGCATACATGGAAGACTATCCCTTAAGATTTACATGCAGGAATGAATTTTTATTACCTTACTTCTCCCACTAACTGTACCTTTTGTCTGTGAATGAGGCATGACTGGACACTGAGTTTCCCTCTCCCAGTCCTTTGGGTAACTGTTGAGGCTGGCCCCCAGCAAACAGACACAGGAACATCCTAAAACAAAGTTATCATTCTAATGGTTTGACCCTTCAATGAAATCATCTTTTTTATTCATCAATAACAGAAATTCTGTAAGTCAGGTTGTAGAAGAATGTATGGAATTAAGTCCACTGACAATCTGTGTACATTTTCAGATACATTAGTGTATACATGTAGTTGTTTACTGACTTTTTTGCCTTGGTGCTGTTGGGGTAGTCTACCACCAACCCTCCTGTCCAGCCAGCCTTCATGGCCTGTTGTGTGATCAGTTCCAGCTGTAAAACAGACGCATTACATATAAACTGATGACCCAACTGTAAAACAAAGGCATTCAATATCAACTGATCACCCAACTGTAAAACAGAGGTATTCAGTATAAACTGATGACCCAGCTGTAAAACAGAGGCATTACATATAAACTGATGATCCAGCTGTAAAACAGAGGCATTCAATATAAACTGATGACCCAGCTGTAAAACAGAGGCATTCAACATTAACTGATGACCCAGCTGTAAAACAGAGGCATTAATGAATATAAATTGTCAGATGACCCAGCTCAAGCTGTAAATCAGAGACTGTTTACTGGTGACAGACACAGCTGTAAGACTGAGACCTAGATTCAATCCTACTGTGATACTTGTTAGACCAAATTGTATACCCTATTGAGCTATCCAACACCATACTGAAAACTCTTTTTGTAATTTGCTTTAATTGATTACAAAAATTCTGCATCTGAAATGTCTGTTACTGTTTAAGTGTTTATAAATTATATATATGTGTGTGTTAAGAGATAGAAATAACTAAATTTTAACAGTATAAAGGAACTAAGATTAAATGTTTTCGGTAAACTATTATCATCAATTAATAAAAATTTGGCAATAGAAAAAAGTAATCAAGATTTGTAACATAGATCAAATTTGAATGATTTGCCTGTTTAATGGTCCTCATTATAGTTCATCTAGATGTATGTTATTTAAGTACATTATTGACCACTTCATACTGCAATATTATTTGGTAAAACCTATTCCATTGATTTATAAAAAGCAAATCAGCAAGATAAGACTGTCATCACACAATTTAGCTATTGAAAGTGGACGCCATAGAAATATCTTGCGTGAAAACCGAATATGTGAAGTTTGTAGTTCTGAAATTGAAGACGAATTCAATTTTGTTTTAAAGTGTCCACGATACAAGGGTTTACGAGTAAAATATATTAAAAAATTCTACTGGGAAAAACCATCTATGTTTAAATTCATACAGTTATTATGTGCACATAATGTTAAGGACCTTTGTAATTTGGGAAAGTTTTTGTACCATGCTTTTAACTTAGGTAATGAATGTCATACTGCCTTATAAACAAATTTTTAAAAATGGTTTGTACATTCTCCATCATCATGATACTGATTGTATAATCATTATGCTGACTGTTAAAAGAATACCCGCACTATGCCTTACTGTTTACATGTTATAAATTTATATTGTATACAATAAGATGTATGTCTTACGTAATAAAGTGAATTGAATTGAAAAAAAAAACACTCTGGAAAGACAATTCATTGGATTGTTTGGAAAATTTTCCTTGAAAAGTTACTGTAGAAACAAAAATTTTTCTAGACATCAAATTTCCTTGATTTGTTATCTAACACAGTTTCTTGGGCATTTAATTTCATCAATTCAAAAGCAACCCTTTTCAATAATAACTGTATAGTCAAATGAAAATTTTGTGTAGGAAATATTTTACCCAGTAGTTCATAAGTAAGGTCAAGATCTAGTAAATAACTTTAGACTAATTTTTTGGTGCTAGATCCATTATGACGTCAAAATCAGTATCAACTTTCTTTTTCCTGTACTTTACGGCTTTAGCAGAATTATGTAGAAAATAGTGTATTTTCATGACATTCAATTTGAAATCATATTAAAAGTAAACCGGATACCTATATTAAATTTGATACAGGTTTCAAGAAGAGGCCATGAACATACTAATTCCCGTTTTCTGTGATACTGTTGGCAATCTGGATACATTTCCTTTGTCAAAAATGAAAAAAACTCCCATATTCATGACTGGTTTTCTTAATTTTCTTTGAAAATGACAGTTTAAAAAGCAGTTTTTCATCTTATTTACCTACAAATTATGCCCCGAAACACCCTATTTGACCAAGCCAAAGTTGTAAAGCATCAATAAAGGAATTTATTTCTCAAATTTGATAAATCTGTAGGCACCTTTCATTTACTAGATCTTGACCTTAAATGAATTTTTATCCCAAATTTTTCTGCTTTTGCAGTATCCGTCTTATCAGAGGGATATTACATCTTAAGTTTAAAAATTACCTGAGAACTGTTTTCAGGATAAAGTTGAAATACTGCTTTACCACCTCTAGTCTAAATAATTATTAAGGATTTAATATTACATTATATCAGCACATGTAATTTTTAATAACAATTATATACAATATAATAATGGAATGGATTAGAACAACAAAAGGAATTTAAATTGGACATTAACACATATTCTTACATGTATCTAATTTTTCAATTTCGGTAAATTTCATAAGTCAATCTAAAACATAACCAACACACTTACTACTGCAGCATACAGTGTAGTGAAAAATTTGAGTAATCTTTTTGGTGGATGATGGTATTTTTTGTCAGCATTACACAACCACTGTAAAGCTGATATACTGAAAATAGAGAACATTAGAGCAATACTGAATTTAAATCTGACAAAACAGTCAAGGATGTGACATGTAAATTTAAGAGATTTTCATCTCTTATATTTTGGCAAATATAAATCAAAATCGGAAATTAGAGTAAATTCACTTTTAATGTTCCTTAGACAAACAAATGTTATACTTAAAATACTGTGGTCTTTAAGCAGTAAACCCATTATTTTATATTTTACCTGATGACACCATCAAAAGTTCCAGGTCTAAAGGGGATTCCATACCCCATGTCTCCCTCTATCAGGTCCCCCTCTACCTCCCGGTCGACAGCGACACCTGAGTAAACGTAGCAGTATCAATGAGTCACCATTAAGTTTAATACTACTTTCAATCTCAACAGTTCAATGATACTATTTAGTTACATGTAATATATACCCGGGTAATAACAATTCCTCCTTTCAAAGTAATGTTTGTTTCATTGTTGACTTCAGCAAGTTTTATAAATGACACATACCTAGCATGTGAGAACTGATGTCAATGCCGACCCAATAATGACCTTGTTCTGTTACTGTCTCACCACTCAAACCTGACCCACACCTGAAAATTCAAAAAGGAAATGTTAAAACCATCTGGATAAATCAGATCGAAACAGATGAAATGTTCAAATTATACCATAGCACCAAAATTTTCTTGAGAATAAAATTTCATAGATTTGTCATCTAAAAATGTTCTCTGCGCATTAAGATTTGATGTTTCAAAAGTAACCCTATTCAATTTGGATCTAGTCATATCAAATGGTGAGATTTAGTTTGGTTGCCCTTGTCTCCAACAAACCAAATGAATATTTTTGCCCTTACAAAACATCTCCAATATAAAGCCTACCCAATGTCTAGAATAAAACAGGGCTCATCGGGAAGCTGCAGTATCTCCAAGGCTCTCTCTGACAACTGGCTCTGTATTTCTATCATACGTGTACTGAAAAAAATAGTTTTTTCTTAATAGAATATATATGTCATACAATGTGCACTGACGTTTTCTCCATCTGAAATACGTTAATATGAATATCAAAATGTATATACTTCTGCAGAATTAAATGAGTGCTGTAAAAGGCACTAATGACCTATAAAAGCACATAACAGTATGGATTACTTGTATATACAATGATATAACTTGCAGCTAATTTGTACACAAAATGCAACATTCTAAAAATAAGTGAATGTTGTTCTCAAAAAAATTTTACTATAAAATCTTTATTATATGTATACCGGTATATTAGTCTGATGAACAAGAACCATTTGAAATAGGTCTTGGGGAAAAAAAACATTGATATCATAACATTAAGTTTGGTTTGTACACTAACAATGTAATTTGTAACAAGCTTAAAACAAACATAAACTGAAATGTTATTTTACACCAATTTATGGTAGAAACTCTAATTTATGTAACAGCTTTTAACAATTGTAATGCCTAAATTTTACAGAAAGTCTTACTTTGAAGAATATTTCTTTGCTTCATCCTCATTGTAAAACTAAAAGAAATGAACAAATAATAGCATGGTTAGAGAACTATTGTATTGAATGCAGATGTTTTACTTCAAACATCAAGCATTAACCTCTTAAGGTGAGGAAAAAATTTCCAATTTGACATCATAAAACATATCTTGTAATGGGAGAGGCAAAAAATGTGACAAACCAGACCAGGATTCAAACTTGTCCCCCCCCCCCAGTCTCCCTCCAGTCCCTGAATCTCCAGTCAGGTGCTCAAATCACTGAGCTCTCTGGCCACTGCAATTGAACCTGTCTGACCACCAAAGTCTTCCCTCCTTCAAGCTCCTTGGAAACAAACCTAATTGTTCAGTTAAAAACCCCAGCAGTAAAGCAACTCTCATAGGTGCCTGTGTTTCCACTTACAGATGAACCTCGTTATATGAACAACAATGTATTGAATACTACTGTGGTAGTGTCAGAAACACGGCTTCCTACTACCTCGGGCTAAAGGGTTAACCCTTTAGCTCAATTGGTAAAGCACTGGACTGAGCCAGAGCCCCAGGTCCAATCCCCAGAGAAGCAATAAAATGTCTCTGTTACACTTGTGATGTGTTTTCAGTGTGTTGGCAGTCCCAACTACTTTCTCTTTATATACATTTATTATTTTAATCATTATCTCAAAATCTCCAATAACTCGAAGAAGTTTAATCTTTTCCCATTTAGGCAGCTAATTTGATAATTAGATTTGATTGTACATGTATAATATATACCCTATAAATCATTAAATGTTAAAAAAAAAATGGTGTCTGCTCAACTCCCTTGTTTACCATCAAAAAGCTATACGAGATTCTTGTGATGGCTTCAGTTCAACTTATATACACACTGCAAGTATTGTATGTGTTAGCTGCAGGTCTGTAGCTCTCCGAAAAAACATTTATTGATAGACCGGAGAGCTACAGAGCCACCCATTGAAAAAACTGTATATTTATTGCGCACAAAAAAATGCGCTCGGTTATCGATTTATTTCTCCATGTTTTTCAAGCTGTAATCTCAAAATATTACTAACCGTGTGTTCCTAACATATTCTTTGACTCTTTCCACAACAAAACATTCCTCATAATTGTTGTTAATAGTCCTCCTGGTCCTGATATTGCAATCTTCGGACATTTCGCTTATTTATACTGCCATTTTGGTTTCAAAGATAATTCGGTCCAATATGCTTCGTTCAGATGTCAACTACGAGAGAACTTGATAGAGGAGAGAGTATTTTTTTGAAATCTTCCATTTTTGCAATTGAGGTAAGAATTTTGAAAAATTAATCAAGAATCGAGCGCACTTTTTTGTGCGCAATAAATATACAGTTTTTTCAATGGGTGGCACTGTAGCTCTCCAGTCTATCAATAATTTTTTTCGGAGAGCTACACATCTGCAGCTATGTATATATGCCAAATATTGAAAAAAAATTCCCCCTCGTGTATTTTTTATGATATATAGAGGACGTAGAATTTTTCGATATTTGGCATATTGAGCGACTGATTGATAAAACTTCACGTGCCTGTGGTTTGAATGCTGTTAGAAAGTAATTTTGTCTTACTATTTCAGGAGGAGCTTGTCTTTCTGGTCTTCCACCTGATGCCATGCTTCAAAATGAAACAGGATATAATATATTGCAGAGTAATTCTAGATCTTCGTTGTAAACTTTGGAATTCCGAAAAAGGTTCCTCACATCTTAGTCTTTCGGATGCTTTTAATAATGATGCTCATGAATATTTCGATAGTGACGTAAAGTGATATTGATCGCCTGGAGGACGACTGACCGTTGTCTGGGGTCGGAGTAAATTATGTAAATAGTAATTCAAGCCAGTGACAGAAACATTCATTTATCTCTTGGGAAAAGAAGAGAGAATATACTAAATACGAACTCTTTAATATTTTTGCAGTAGTGACTGTAAAGGCATTCCCGATGAGGACATTGGGATTACATTACATTCCGAGGTTTTACAGGGGCACTGATTGGGGACTAAATGGCATATGTTTACGACAGTACGTCACAAAGCATCGCCATACACGAAACACGTATTATTATGAAGTACTTGGTGTTGAGTCTAGCGCCAGTCAAACTCAGATCAAGAAAGCATACATCGACCTGACCAAAATACACCACCCTGATGTCAGTGACAGTGAAGAATCTAGAAAGCAGTTTCAATTGATATCTGATGCCTACATCATTCTAGGAAATGTTCATTCACGGAGAATGTATGATCGAGGCTTGATATCAGGAGCTCATGCTCATGGTCCAAAGCAGTCCCAGGCAGAAGAGGAGGAATTTGATCCATTTAAAATACCCCCTAAACCTGTTAGAACTGATTTAGACAAAATTACAATGAAAAATTACAAAGATATTACAGATCAGAGGATGATAGAGTCTTATTTAAAGGCTTACTACAAAGAGAAATTCGAAAAAGATCAAAATAATATTTATCTGGAGAAAAAAAAGAGTGCCGAATATTACCAAGAGACAACTGGTGCGTTTCTATTATTGGCTGTGTTAGCAGGCTTACTTTACAGTTTTCAACATTACATGAAGTCTTCTAGTCAAAAGAAAATAAAATCAAGATGATAGACTGATATACACATAGTAGTAAATTATCTTCAGTGATATGTGTTTCCATCATTTTCTGGAAATTTTATTTTCTCGCAATATCAGTTCCATTGCTTTAAAGATTAAGAAGCATATGTGTGATATCCTGTTGAACATATTCCAGATGGAACTGGTAGAATGAATTAGGACAGCTTAAAGCAACACTTGCACATGTAGTTGTGTTGATGTCAACTAATCAAATTTATGTCATAATTTATCCTAATGGTCACGGTGATGATATAGAGGATTTAAACATGTTAAATACATGTGATGGTGAGAAGGTATCAGAAAAATGACGAATAAGTTCAGCTTATTTGCAGGCTGCATTTTATGATAAATGTTTCCTGAATTTTTAAAAAAGAATCTTTTTAAGTAAGTTATTATTGTAATACATGCACAAGTAAAATTAAAGTATAAAATAAACCACACAGTCTGAGTCATTTAGATTTTATCACCTGGTGTTCTTACCAAGTAGAATAAAATAAATTTAACTTTAGTACTTTGTGGAAATGCATCATTGTACTGTATCAGTATTATACATTGTCTTGTTGGGTATTTCAGTTTGTCAATTTTGACATAAATAAAAGAAACTGATTAATATGAGTACATGTGAAATTATTTTTGTTTGTTACATAAAAATGCCAAGAGTTAGACTTTAAACATGTTAAATTTATATGCATTGTTATACCCCCGCAAACGAAGTTTAGGGGGGTATATTGGAATTACCATGTCCGTCTGTCTGTCCATCTGTCTGTAGACAAGATTCTGTCCGGACCGTTTCTCAGAAACTGTTAGATGGATTTGTCTGAAAATTTATTACGCTTATTATTCACCATATGAAGGTGTGCACCTGGGATTTTCATCATGATTGGATGATTTTTCTGCATTTTACAGGCATTTTTTCTTTTTTATTTTGTGATTTTGTTTGGCTCATAACTAGAAAACTATTAGACTTACAATCATCAAACTTGGACAATTTATGCATCTTTGGTAGAGGGTGTGTCAAAACCTATTTCAAGGTCACTGTGACCTTTAATTTAAGTGATTTTTAAAAAAAAAAATAAGTCTTTAAAATTTTAAATTTCATAATCCTAAAAAATATAAAAATATAGTTGTATCCTTATTAAAAAATGCTAAATCAAGTAAAAACTTATTTTTTATCATATACTTTACAGCAAATTCTGTGACAAATGTTAATGATTTGAAAGGAATTCAGTTTGTCCCATGGGCATAATTATCAAGCACTGGTCAAGGAGATTTTTTGATAGCAGAAATGTGCATGTCAAATTAGAGAGAAATTAATTAATGAGTTCATTGTCGGGAGTTAACTAACAAGAGCATCATGCTGTGTTATCTTAATTTATCTCTTGGGAGTTGGGCAAAAAGAAATGGCCTTATAGTTGCTTGTGTTAATTAAGAGTTCTTGATGGCTGTAGTTCAGATAAAGATCTTTCAATTGGTGTAATGTAATTAAAACAAATTGATGTTTTAGTGTATGATTAAAACTGAATTAGTATTGAATAATATAATTAAAATTAATTATACATGTGTTCATTAAAAAAAAAATTACATTTCAAGTTTTATATATTTGCAACAAATTGCAGTCATGTCTCACTTAGAATTTTATAGTCTAAAGAATAATTAATTTTTGATTTTTTTTATTAGACTGTAGCATTTCCATTATTTCATAAAATATGCAATAAACAATTGAAAGCTGCAGATGGATATTTCTTAAGCTCTAACACAGCCAGTTTAGAATTATATGATGTATTATTTGTTTTAATTAATCCCTACACTGTAAGTCTCTTAGAGATGTATGTACAATATTTTAAGCATGATAAGAAATGGAAATTAGATCATTGTAGTCTGTGTCAATCTGTTAATCAAGGTTACTTGATTTTCTTGCACCCTAACCAATTTATGATTATCGAACAATATTTGATGGGGGTATCATGCTGTGGCGGGGCACTTTATTAGACAATAGTGAACACCTCTTAGTAGATCCATAAAATATTTCTGAATTGGCACCTACTCTGAAAAACCCAGCGGGGGTATTTGTCCCTATTGGACAGTTCTAGTTGATATAGATAATAAAATACATGTGTAATACATCACAGTGTAATTGATTTTTGGTTAATATCTCTGTCTCGTCTCTTAATTGTACTGAATTAATTTTGGTTACCTCATTTTATCTGTAAAGATACTCCTTATTGCACTTATGTAGAATATTCCTGTGTGCAGGATTATTATTAATTATTAATTGAATATGAAACTCAGTACAGAATATTCATATAATTACAGGAGTTTGCGTACCTATTAATTTTACCTAAATTTTCAGTACATAAAAAAAAATGCAATACCTATAATAATAATACATATTGTTTTATTTACTGAATATGACAGTAAAATTGATAAATACAGCATCTCCTGTGATATAATTCAGGTTAGATTTTGACTTGATTTTCAACAACAACACAAGTCAAAATTTCTTTAATTTTATATTCAGAGAAACATATGTATGAAATGGAGTCAGTAAACAAAAATACAAGATTATAAAATGACATTGAATATTCAAGTATCAACATTGACTAAGACTGTTTAATTTTCTTAGTATACACTTTGCTAAAAAGAGAATCAAGTAAAAGTAATATTGGAATTATAAGATATGGAGAATATATTCCCAGTAGGTAAAGTCTCTCGCTGAGTGTTTCTGGTCCAGGGTATTTTGGGTGTCTGAAGGACTCCATAAGAATGTGGTAGCATATAGCAACAGTTGTCGTGGCAACGTGTGTGGAATAAACAATAAAGGGCACCCGAACCCATTGACACTTCTGAACACCTAGGAAGAGAAATAATTATACATTTGTATTGATTTATTTGTTGGCTATTTTCCATTATATTTACATTTTAGAATTCTTTGTCCTAGATAAAACTAATAGTAAAAATACTTTATTTCTACATAAATATACTGGCTCATAGATAGGCGTGGTTAAAAAAATCCTGTGTGGGTGGAAAAATTGCGATAGAGGCTGGGCTTGCTTCATTTTCAGATACCCATGGTTGATCTCATCTTTACTCATCATGTGATAAGTATATAAAGACAAAATCGCAAGACGATGGGCTTGTTTATGTAGCACATAAATTTGGGGTATCTAGATCTCATAAATATAAGATCAGAATAAATGTCAGATTTTCGGGGTTCATGACGATGATCAATCGATTGGCTAGCATAATAATTTTATGCATAAACGCTTTTATGCAAATTATCACTCAAGCCAATTGATTGATCAAATCATAAAACCAAAAAATCTGACAGTTATTCCTTAATTAAATATTACAGTAAGATAACTGGTTTACAATTCATACATATGAATCTTAATATTAATTTAAAAAATCAAATCATAATGAAGTTAAAGCCTGATAAGGTAGCTTTAAGGTTTCCTTGGTTTTTGACCTTCTGACAATTCTCTCCTCGTGAGTGTCCGATCAATGTTGAATGAGAAATAATTATATGTACAGTTATTTGCTGCACAAAAACTGTACATGTACCGGGTACTTAAAAAAATGGTCATCATAAATACTGACAAGAAATTATCACAGTGAAGCAGAGCGAAAATTAACCCATTGGCTTAATTGTGAAGATCTAATTACAAACAAATTAAAAAAGAATGAAATTAGAATAGTACTGTACAAACCTTTCCACAGGGCATATGTTGCAACAAAAAAGAAAGGAAATTGTACAAGAAGTTCACAATAGCAGAATGACTTGAACCAGGGAGGGGGATCAGCCATGAGAACATCTTTAAAATCTTCACAGTATTTCTTCTTCACATCCAAAAGCTGAAATGGACATTTTGAATTTCATATTTCAATCATTATAAATAGATATCTTGAGTATGGATATCTCGAAAACCATGGATATTTCAATGTCAGAAATCTCTAGTTTCTTTGTGTATTAATTTTATACTTCATTACTTGGTTTCTCGAATTCCCTGCTGCATATCTTGGAATTTTTCCTTGGTATTTGAGTTTGAGATCAAAAGGTTTGACTGTATATATATATCAACATTACAGAAAATCATATAAAAGTATATCTTGATCCCAAGATGGACTGTGTTCCGTAAGTTTACTGACACTTGACATGAGAGACTCAGAGGGGCGTACTGTACTTCCTTCTATTCTGTTTGTTTTGATAGAAAAAAAGAAATGCATACCACTTTCGGATACAGCCATGCTGGGAAAATCACCTGAGAGTCAAATAAAACCGTTATCGGGATATGAGAAACGAAATACAAAAGGAATATGATATCCAGAATTCGGGGCATTTTATTTTTTCCTAATTTCACTTTTCAATCAAAACTCAAAACAAATGAATATAAAATTTAAAGTCAAATGGATCGATCTATTGAATTCCGTCAAGAAAAAAAATAAACACTACGCAAAGGACATGGTGAAGTAAATGCCAAAAGGTCCCTGATATGAATCGGTCCCTTTTTAGATATATATGAGAATTAAAATCATGAAAATTTGTGATACTTTGCAGTTAACATGCTTGTTTTATAACCAGCATTATCATTCTGACACTTGCAAACACAGAGCTAGGCCACTAGAGGGTGACGAAGTAGAATATTTATCAAATTTATCCATTTCTATTTATAAGATTCATCTCCCTCCTAGATTGCAAAATCATTCGAAGGTATCGTTTTCTCTATAATACTAGTGCAGAGTAATAAATAGAGAAATTTCTTCCTCTTTTTTTTTTTACTTTTGGAAGGGGGGGGGGTGTCAGCTTTTGTATTTTCAGTGTATTTCGTTGACAGTCAGTTGTAAATTTATATTAAAATATCTACCTTTATTTTACATGTATGTATACAGCTAAATTATTGCATGTATATGTCTTCAAAAAGCAATCTACAAAGATCTTTTCAAAATTTGAAATGCTTTAATTAATTGTTTTCTGCTCTTATTTTTCATTTATGATTCACAATATTTAAAAGCTGTGAAATAAAATCGCGAAACAGAATGTTCTTAAAGTTTTCTTTTAAGACAGTCGATTTTGGTGCAGCTAGATCAATACTAATATTCATTTTCAGAGTCTGGGAGCTCGTCTAATACTGGTGATGCATGTTATATCAATTTCTATCTACCATTTTCTTTCCCTCGCTACACTACATAGAAAACTCCGAAATCAATTTGCAATGAACAGGAATGCTTGAAGACTGTAATTATGTACCGCAATTTCATCGACTTCCTTAGTTAGCAGGCATTCTAGACAACTCAAAGGTCACACGGAATCGATATCGGAGCCTTGGGAAACCCTGGTATGGAAAGATAAAATGGTTCAATTTATTGATATTCCAATTCGGCAATTCCTCAAACAGTTAAAAGTAAACATGTAAACTTAAATTTGCGGAGTGTAAAACCGTTTAATTACAATTAGCTTATGACAACAATTAAATCAATAAGCTCAATATTCCTTTCTCTTGTTTCTCATTTAAACAAAAATCAACTTTTCAATCTTAATTTTTTAATTTAGCAACTAAATAATGAATGAGAACAAGAAAAAAGTCAAAGTACTGAAAGTACTGGGAAGCGCTAAGC